ATCAACGTCATCATCATAATGGTAGTCAACTAACTCATCACTACTTACAAACATTTTATCACATCATCAACACATCAGCATCAAAATTTCTAATTGTCATCTTGAAAGTTTCACATTCTTATTAATCATCATCGTCATTCTCAGATTTCCTCACTCATCATCAGCACATTCGGAGGCATCATCATCATCATGCATATAACCCAATCCACCACACATCTCCACAACCACCACCATCAACACCAACACCACCAACAGCACCATCACGCGAGAATGATGTGTTTGAGTGCGAAAACCTATTTGTATGGAAGTATTGGAAAGGAGGTAGACCACGTGATGTATGGCGCCAACAAGAATGTGGGATCTATAATATTTCCACATGATGTTAGAGTTAGATAACGTTAATAACGACCAAAACAACGATAAAAATGTAATATAATCCATTAATTTATATTACTAAATTACTTATTTTTTGTCAAGTTAATCATAAATTTGCTATAAAATATGAAGTACAATTAGTGAATTGAAAGATCTTATGACTTATGACATATCGAATAGAACAGTAGAAATTGACTAACAAAACGGCTGTAAAAACTAAACCATTTTCACATTCTTAGGTTCTTCAGCTAACAAATTTTTTGCTATTCCTACGTAACATTCATTTATACAACTTAATTTCTCACGCAAATGTAGGCGCAAAATCTTGTCACATGACTATGTTTATAACGATTTTAATTTACTCAACTTGCCCTTTGATTCAAATGGCTATGGAACTGTTTTTTTTGAAAATGTCACGTAAAATATCTAAGACAATTTGTTTGCCATTTTATTAGTACACAACAATGATTGGTGACGGTTGTTTTTGGCTATCATTGTGTGTGTTTGTGTGTGTGTGATGTGTGCGTGTGTGATGTGTGTGTGATGTGTGTGTGCGTGGTGTGCGTGTGTGATGTGTGTTTCTGTGTGTGTGTGTGTGTGTGTGTGTGTGTGTGTGTGTGTGTGTGTGTGTGTGTGTGTGTGTGTGTGTGCTATGATGAAGATGATGATGATAATGATGTGATAGCATCCATGATAATCCATGATGATGATGATGGTTATAGCGATAATTAGAAAGATAAAGACAATAAAAAAGATGGCGATAATATAAAAAAGATCAATGCATTCAATATTTGAAGTTTTCAAATAACGGTAATAAAATTTTATTTGTGAAAGTAATTTTCGTCTACTCTAGTTGGGCGAAATTTGCTGTTACACTTGTTGCTGATATTATTGTTGTTGATGTTATTGTTGTTGCTGCTGCTACTGCAATTGTTGTTGTTTTGTCTTGCTCAATTTAAACAAATGAAAACATAAATAAAGAATTTTTTCTTTGGTGTTTGCCATCATCAATGAAATGTGACGATTTGTTAGAAATTTTAAATTGAATGATATGAACCCAATTGCTTTGTTTCACTAATTGCATGATTCCATGTTAAACACTTTGCCCACACAAAGTAAATTTTTCATAAAATGATGGAAAGACGAGTAGCTAGCTCTATTGAAAATATTTTTTCAAAACCATATTGAAATCAAAGATTTGAAAGTTTCAAAGACATTTAAAACACATCTGAAATTCAGCCAGTAACTTTTTCACCGGCTTATCATTCGAATGCAGTGTTGTTCAGCGATTTATTAACCTGCCGTTATCTGGAATAAAAAGTTTCTTACAATGTTTAAACTTCTGAAATATCGATAAAATAATTAAACTGTTCGTCCGTGTAGTCTCGCATTGTTCATATTTGGGCGGGGATAGTATTTTGTTCGTGTGTTTTAATACACATTCAAATACTTGGTGAATGTTGCATTAAATTGAATTTTTTTTAATGATGTTTCATATGGAAACAATATTGTAAACCATCTTCAATATCAATATAAAAACAAGGATTTGCAAATTTTACATCAATTGATAACTCTTTTAGAGAATAATTTTTTTTTGAACCAAATTAAGTTCTACGCTTTTTCATTTGATTCTCTGCACTGAAAAATAAAATTCAACAAATTGAATAAAAAATTCAACGCGTGTATATTCTTGCCCCACTAAGTTGGAAAGTTCATTCTCATTGCTGCTCTTTTTACTTTAAAAATAAATGTTGAAATGAATTTATGCTGCAAATACAACCAAAATCAGATTAAAAGTGATGTAATGTAATTCACGCTTAGAAAAATAAAATATTTTTGTTAATTTAAATAAAAGTACTGAAAATTTTTAAGAGTTAAATTTAAAAATAAATTTCTGAATACAAAATTTTTTCGTTTAAGCATGGAAGAATATTTTAAATTTAAATGCAGAAACGTCTGCCATAAAACCAGTAAACGATCAAGCTTGTTAGCTTTCAATGTCATCATCATTCACTTCCACGTAAAGCAATTCTTGCACTAAATTTTGTCGTTTGTAATCAACCGTCTGCTTGCTTTCTTACATTTATTGGATTTTTAACTTTTAATTTTAGAACAAACTTGCGTATTTTCGAAAAATTTTTTAACTTGGAATAGCTTTTTCGTTGTTTGATTGTGTTAGTTAGAGTCTGGCTGTATTTTAATTTCAATTCTTTTTGTATATTTTCATAGCTGTCCAGACTGATTCATTCTATTCTCTCAACCTTGAGGAGAGTATGTAAGCTTCAACAAACATCAGCTCATGCCATCTCGGTGTGTATTGGTTGGTCTACCTGGCTGGAGTTCATTCGGTTCAATCACGTGACATTTCGATTGTCAATCATAATATTTATCGTTCATTAGTGTTATCTCCAATAATATCATCATTTACTCCCTATCCATTGTCAGCTTCACTTGCGTCTACATTTAATCACACTTAAAGATGTACTCTTCTTCAGATTAATCTTTAGTCATCTTCTATTGTTGTTCATTCAAATGTTTGCAAACGCTTACGTCTGTTAATCTGTTTGAACAATGAAGTTTAATTTGCTTGTTCATTCACCGTTCACATACCAGCGCAAACATTACATGTTTATTAATTGTCCACCAAAATTTAATGAGTTTCTACATATTAATAAAAAAAGAATAAAAATTAAAATACAGCCTAATTATAACACTTTTTAGTAAAAAAAAGACTTTTATTAAATGGATGTTCAATTATAAAAGAAAAGAAAAATTGAATTTATGCTTTCCAATTTGAAACCATATTATAAGTTCATTTTGTACATTTTGTACAATTTATGCTTTCCAATTTGAAACCATATTATAAGTTCATTTTGTACATTATCAACCTGGCGTTCAACAACCTTTCAAACTTAAATTTTGTATAGCCGTTCGACAAATGTATTGGAAAACTTCTAAACAAACATCTCACTGTTGTATGCAGGCAAACATCACTTGAGCACATTTTTAAACATAAATATTTATTTACTCGCTTGATAAAATAAGAATCCAGACACTTTTCATACAAACCTTAGTTAATTTCGTTTCAAATCGTGCAATCACAAACAGCTGAGATGAACATTTCTAACCAATCATCGCACAGACCACCACGCTAACATCCTCAGCGAGACAAGCACAGAAAACATCATCAAGCAGACCACCACCCCTACTGAATAAAATTTTTGAAGCAGCGCCATCCTCCGCAATGAACTTTGAAGTGCCGCATTTAACGTGATAGCCGCCAAACATACCATTTCAATGCCATCTCCAAAATTTCATCGTCCTCATTAGATCTTGTTATCTCATGCAGGTGACCAATGAAAGGAAGAAGCCGATGTGATAAAAAGAACTGCATGCATGGCAACATTCTGACTTAAAATAAGAGCAGCCCACGTCATTGCGGCAGGTTCACGCGAGTACAAAAATTTTAATTTAAAATTTTAATTTTAATTTAAAATTTTAGACGACTACGTGAAAAATCTTCTGAAATTTCGATCCAATCAAAAATCGCCTGTTAAAAATTTTGAAATCTTCCGGTCAAATTATCCGATCAAATGATTAAACGCTTTCATTATATGCTATAAAATGAAATGGATGTTGCAGAAGGTAATAATGGATGGAGTTTGGCTCGCCCACATGCACAAAAACCTGGAGAGGTTTACTTTGAAAATTGATGCTATCGAAACTTATGCGCTTATTTGCAATCATTTTTTTTATAAATTACTTGATCTGAAATTTGTTTAGATCAAGAAATTGAACAACAGAACAAATTACAAAAAAAATGAAGCATCGACTATTAAATTAGAAGAACAACGATAAAATGGTTTACACATAGCGCAATCGCAGTTGATGAACCAAATTAATTACCAAAGAAAAAAATAAGTGAATTATAAACTAAACTTTCCTAAATATCTTATTTCAAAATTTTAAAAACAACATACAAAATGCTTTAAGTCATGAGCAGAAATATTTAGTATGGCTTTTTGAAAACATGTGGAAGGGTCGGCAACAAAAAGAAAGAGGAAATGATGTACATCTAGCTCTCTACTCGATGACCAATGCTAATGTCCAGACGAATGCAACTAAACCAAGATGACAACCCGATAAGGACAAGCATGACAACACATTAACTGAAAATTTCGTAGTACATAAACAGAGTAGATTCGTACAGTTTATGCATCTAGTTGGCTGAGTAGGTTGGAGAATATTTTGTAAAATGGAGTTAAAAGTAAATACACTTTGTAGTAAATAGACAAATGTTATAGATGCTAGATGTTAGATAAACAAATGAATGAATATAAATATGAATAAATGAAAGAACGAACAAACGAATGAATTACGGAATAAATAACTTGGTGAAACAATAAATGAATAAATACATACATAAATAAATGAGTGAATGAATGAGTGTAGGAGCGTCTGTAAAAATCATTAATTAATATTTGAACCTGAATGAGTTTTGCAACAAAGAATTGTTAGCTCCTGCTTTTTCAAATCATCAGATTCATTACCAATTTACCAACAGTCGTACTCAGCATCTTCCAAACTACACCTCAATATACACAGCGGAAATAACAGCGATAGACATGGCATTATCCTCCATATACAATTCAACAGGAAAAAACTATCAGATATTCACAGATTCGTTGTCAACTCTCCTAGCATTGAAACAGTACTATCCCCGCCATCAATTAATTCTTCAGATCCAAAACAAAATACATGATATAATAAGCAATAAAAATCATATTTCATTAATCTGGATTCCTAGCCACATTGGTATTGAAGGAAATGAAAGGGTAGATCAATTGGCAGCACAAGCGCACTTGGATCCCCGATCAAACATTGCAATTCCATATTACGACATAAGAGTGATGACAAACGACCTCATATGTTCCAAATGGCAAAAAGAATGGGATAAAATAACTAACTTCCTCAAAATAGTTATGCCAGAACTAAATAGTTCACAAAACACCAAAATCAACGAACTTAGTAGAAACAATTTAAACATCATAAATAGATTAAAACTCGGTCATTCTAAAATAACTCATTCATGGATTCTCAACAAAACAAACCCTCCAATTTGCGAGAACTGTGATACAAAATTAACAATCCAACATATATTGATAGAATGTCAAAATTACAATGAAATCAGGAAAAAACATCAAATACCAAATGATATCCGATCGATTTTCAAAGATGAAAAATTACAAAACCTGTTATCATTCATTAAAGAAATAAACATGTTCAACAACATTTAATTGCCTCACGGGTCAATGAAGATCCACAAAAGAAAATAGAATCAACAAAGACCAAGGGCGTAAAGATAGCCTATCAGAGCTAAAACGCCGTAAAACTGCAGAAGAAGAAGAAGAAGAAGATTCATTACAAAATTTCAATTAATTCATTTCAACTGTTAATTTTGTATTCAAGACACACAAAGATGTAATAAGCCCAACTTTTTCATGGTTTGTGAAACCATTTGATGAACGTGCAGTTGAATAAGCTGAAGACTCTAATATTCAACGTGAAATTTCATAAATTTCTGACATATACATTTTATTTTTTACATTTTGTAATTTATTTACTTGTTTATTCACAGACTTAATTATTTGTTTCCAATCCTGAATTTGTGTTTGCTAGAAAATGTTAACATTATAGCGTGGCGAGAAGAATGGTAGAGTTGACTGAGGTACATTGCAAAAAAGTATGTTTATTGGTTATTTCATAATAAATTTGTATAAAACCATTCATAAAACTTTTATAAAATTATGCTTAAAACATTTGTTTTGAAACAAATGCAACTAATCCCCGACTTCACTCGGCTTAACCAGGAAAGGTTCCATTTCATAATTTTGTTATGAGTATAAAATTCTAGTTTATTACCAAAAATTTCATGTGCAATACCAAAAATAATTTTTTTATCGTTATTTTCTAAACAAGTACATTGTTTTAAAAAATTTGGTTTCGTTACATTTTAAAATTATGGAAAATTAATCTATACATAAATTCGCTACGTTTTGGACAGCTGATCATTTTCAGCGACTTTTATCACTTTAATGAACATCCAATAATATTCATTATTCACTGAATGTAGAAACTTACAGCATTCAAGAAATTTTTTAATGAGTTTTGCGAACGTGAAATTTTGTGGAAACAGATTGAAAAGGTTGTGAAAGAATTGGAAATATATTTTGTTGAGTTACATTTTTAATTTTCACTCAGATGAACTTTTCAATATGTAACTAATTTGGAGCGCTGAAAATTTGACGCATTTAAACATGAGAGAAAATATAAAAAATTTAAAATTTCTTATTTTTCTAAATTTTGAGGTAAAAAGTTTTTAAATATTTAATTTTGAATTAATGTAATAATAAGATTCTTGGAAATTGTAAGGCGCAAACATTAAATCGATAGCACTACATTATCTACAGATTGAAGAGTCGGTCAAAAACAACAACAACAACAAAAACTACAACAACAACAACAACATAATCTAAAACAGGGTAGACCAACTCTCAAATAAAATTACAGTTGACATCAATAGCGTCACAAACATTTGCACTTGGAATATAAAAGTTTAATGAAAATAAAAAAAATTAACAGGAAAATAACATAAACAACAACAATGAATTAACATCGAATAGAAAAGTTACTCGTGAAAACGTAAAACAAAACATTGAAACCATAAAACGAACAACCGATTATGCAACAACATAGAATAAATAACAAAACATAATTTCAACAAATTTATTCAAAGCATCAATTCAATAAACACAATTAAAATAAAAAAGTGCATGAGCATTCTTCTCCAGTCAGAACGAAAACAAACAAATCACTAATGTCAAACGCATTGTTGGCATGTGAGTAATGACGAATAGTAGAAGAACAATATTAGCAGCTCATATTACTAACAACTACAACAACAACAAAATCTACAACATAAGCATTAACAACATCAGTAGCAACAACAACAACACAAACAACATTCCAACTAGGGCAATCTTCAACAAGTGTTTGTACGATTTCGAACATTAAAGAATGCTTTTGTTGTTGCTGTCATCATTATTGTTCTATTTGCTGTTTATGTCTATTGTATTGATTTTGTTCGTGTTATCGTTGTTTATGTTGTTGTTTTGTGGTGTTGTTGCTGGCATGCAAAAAGACATTATTCAACAAAAAATTCTAAAAACAAGACAACGTAATACCGAGGATATATCAACGTTGCAACGATGACGGTGATGATGACGACGACGACGATGATGACGACGATGATGATGACGACGATGATGAAGATGATGGTGGTGGTGGTGGTGATAATTACGATAACTTTGTGACGATATAGTTTGAATAAAATGATGTTATTGATACCGATGAATGTGTATAATGATGATGACGGTGATGATAAAAAAACATGACATTGTAACCATCGTTAGAACGTAATTTTCAGTCATCTTCCTCATTTAATAATATTGATTTACATGTTGTGACAGATTCTGATTTTGAAAAAAGAACTACAAAGTTTTAAATTTTCTTCTCTTTCTCATTGGGGTGATGACAATTGCTAAGTCTGTAATGATGATCGTGAAAACGATGCAAAGATAGGGTTGAAAAACGGAAATGTCAACGAGACGAATAAAATTGATGACGTGATAACGAATGTTTTAATTGAAGCCATTAATGCTAACTAGGGATGGAACTAACAAGGCATATTTTGCTCCAGATGATATCGTCACCTTATGTCATTTTCCCCAAAAGAGGCAACTAAAGTTGACTTTGTTTTTGTTGGATTATTACCATGTTCGTTACATTCGATAATTACTCACCAAGTTGTTAATGCAAATAATTATGTTATGTAAAAATTCAAAAAAACCTTTGTTTGAAACCTTTTGAAACCTTTGTTTGAAACCTTTTGAAACCTTTGTTTGAAACTTTTTTCCTTACCTAAGATATTCAACATTTTAAAATATTTTAGAAAGAGTACTAATCTATGCCACTTATGTACCATTAATGTCAAAGTTGAGGAAACCATAGAATATGTGGATTTAGAATTTAATTCTGAATGTTTTCACTCCAGTAGTAATTTGATTTCACCAAGAAGTATTTGTTTTAAGATTTTTATTGGACGGTGATATCAACTTTTATGTTGTGTTAGCTAAAAAACTTTTGTCAGTTTCATTAATCTAATTGACTTCTTCTAAAAGTGACTAAGTTACATGGCTATATAGTTCGGCGATAACTTATATAAATTAATATTTTTACTAGTTCCTTAAGTTGTAAGTAAGTATTATGTTTATATTCAAGTTTCTTATAACAAAATGACTATTATTTATTTTGCTTAAGTTTTATTTAACTTCGGCTGCTTATTTTATTGGCAAAAAATAATTTTTTTGGAAAGAATAGAAAAGTCAGCTCTGTGGTACTATCAATAAATAACTTTCCTGTGGTTTCAAACATTTGCTGCAACCAATCAGTGCTTGTGAGTAAGCCCATGGAAATTACAAAATGTTTATAACTGCTACAAGTTGTCATTTTCTATAATTATAGTATCATATTCTGCATATACTCCATCATCAGTAGATAACATAAAATGATACATAGATAGACATTTTAACATCATCATCAGATTACACATATCTTTCAAAAATATTTCAATAAAACGCACAACTATTATAGCGCTTCAAAGAAACTTGATCAAAGAATAAACAACAGGTTCTTCTTTCTCACATTCATCTATGACGCGCCAATCACCTCAATGGTTCTGTCATCAACCCTACTAACACAAACCTAATGTTATTCATGACACTACAATCAGCTCAATGCTCAACTACGAATGCTTTCCTTTCTCTAGGTTACTTGTTCAAAATAAATTCAATATAATAATACATTCATTACAAATTTTTTTAACATTTTTCTTTGTCTTCGTTCAGAAAAAAAAACTAAGAAACGAGCTTGAGACAACACGTCAACAAAAATAAAATAAAAAAGATTGAAATTTACAACTGGTTATTTTATTTAAAGAAATCACAATAAAATATACCGTGGACACCAATGTTGACCGAGCTGAATAATTTAAAAGGAGTGAAAAATTAAGAAATAACGACGACACAAAATAATATTTTTAAAATTCTTTAAAAAATAGATTACTTATTTTAATTGTTTAATTTTATTATAAAAAAAATTGAGTCCATAAAATGTCATTGTTGTTTTTTTTTGTTATATTCAGGTTGCTATCATTTTATTGAATGTTAATTAGCGATGTGATGCATTACACATCTATATGAGAATTCATTTAAGTAGAAGTCATCAACGGGCGCGCAATGCAACAGTCTTACTAGCACTCCAAAAAATACAAATACACATACAACTGTTTAACATTTTTCTGGCAATAAAAAAACTGGAGTTTTTTAATGTGCGGATTTTAAGCTTAATACTGCGTACGTGTGTCAAGTTGAATTTTCAATAACTATCTGTCCAACATATGTTTTGGCCATGAAGGTTCTTCATTATAAGCATTTTACAAATTAATTTATTTTTTTAATTCAGTAATTTTATTCGTACATGAAATATACATCTGTTTACTTATATTAAATGTCCTACATTAACATTAATGTACACACACATACTTGAATAGGAAATGATTTGGATAATTTACCATCATCACATACGAGCAGAAATGGATCTGAGTTAACTCGCCTGCATGAAACAGCATGAGCCAGATGCATTGAACATTTTAACAGAAATGTTTGACTAGCAAACATTTTGTAATTCGATTGTTTTTTTTCAAACTTGAAAAAATGAATGAAACGTTTGTAAAATTTCCAAAATAAATCTATGTCCCTGAGTTTCGTTTGAAGTTGTCACGACCAGATAAGCTGGCATGAATCAAGCAAGCGTAAGTGGACAAGAAAATTTTCTGTTTTGCAACATCACATATATGTGTGTGTGTATATGTGTGTGATGTGTGTGTGTGTGTGTTAGTTTGTGTGTGTGAATGTGTGTGTGTGTTTACATATGAATATAAATATATGTTCATTTTCGTTCATTAGTTTAAATTTAAGTTTTTATTTAAATTTTGAAATATAATATGAAACACTTCCTATTCATTACTCTGTTTTGCTAGTTTAATTTTCATTAACAAAAGGATGGAAATTTATGACAGAACATTTTTTACTCTTATGGGTTTGTTTTGTTCGATTGTCTGTTTTAATTTGTGAATGTTGTCAGCGTTTGAATTTTTATATTAACTTTTGCGTTAACT